AAACGACAGCTATTTAAGAGAATGTGTTAAATTCTGCTATATTTCGTTTTGCCTGTAACTATTTCCGTTTGCTTTAAAAACAAAATAATGTGTTGGTTAAAACTACCAACACGAGTGAGGCTGCTCAGCTGCTATACAGCCATAGTAGGAATGAGAAATATGCAGAGTATAATAGTGATAAATTGATAATTATGCGTAGTGATCAAAGTGCGAACACTGCATTATATTTTTGTGTATATTGTCTTTAGATAAATGTAAATAGTCCTCAATTAGGAATAGCAAATAAAACCATAGGAAAAATACCAAAACACGTCTTTCATAAAACTATAATATATTCTATCAATTTACATAAGAGAAAAACGACATAACTCTCTCGCTTATCAAAAGTCAACGTTGTTGAGCTCGCAGTCAGGCTCAAGTTGAAGATTTACGACTCGGGAAGTATCTGGCGACGAAATGAAGTTAATATTATCTAGCCGGAATGTGACCTAATAAATTCTCAGTCTCGCCAATAGGTTTTTTGTCCAGCTAGACAGTGTAATTCGAAAACTTTAAATTAAGAGTGAGATTAAGTTTCCACGTTGAAAATGATGCGTTTGGTTTTCCCAAGTGACCAACGTTATTAATTAAACAGAATTAATGTGTATATCGAGTGTCTAAGTGAATCTGGTCGTAATAAAAAAATTCACTCGATATCCCAGAAAAAGCGAAATAGACATTAGTCTAAMACATTTTTCTTTTAGGTGTAACTTGTGTGCAATTTGCGCTCGATCTACTGCTTTTAMTTTTAGTTATATTATAATTTCATTGTTGTGTWACAAAACTATTKACTCTATGTCTTGCCTTACGAAAAGSTACTTTTGAAGGGYTTYATCTTTCATTCCCTATATCCCAGTTGAATTAATCTGCTTTTGCTTGAAAGAGAAGTTATGAGCTTATTAAAGGCGACTTAGGTCATAGTCACTAGTTCGGACCGCGTTTTTAAGGGACAGCCTTTTATTCCASAAGTSGTTCTGCAAAAGAATATTTTYATGTATTTGTTRTACGAACTAAAAGAGAACTAATCGTCAARCAAACTRCATRAAAAKTATTTYATTCMAAYATYAAAACYTTTCGTTACAMAAGRAGTTGTTTRTTYATTCCTAATATTTTTSGTTGCTTACTGMACYAASTAAGCTACAATTGCTTAGTTGCTCTATACATMTTTTGYCGGTTTTAAATTAGAGAAATGCAMTAAATTTTCRATAYTTTAATGCAGARGTAGRAGACCTYATAARTGATTAAARTAATGTTTSTMCTTCAACTGTTAGATAATGTTGACGGAAGTMTTTGTTCGTTGTTRSAAAATGTTAATGATTGGYAWTCATCARWCTTYTACCAAATATAGGAATAAAAAATGTRCATCAAATGAAAGGACAAATTTGTTTATGTGAGTGGATCGAAAATATATACTTATCACACATCTGATTCATGGAAAAAGCACCCAATAACTGGGAAAAAGTAATTTTTTCGTTCGTAAAGTTTAATACAAAAATATGGAGCCCATTATATAAGATGGACCGTATGCATAAGCTTCTGGCGAATGTCTTTTTTGGAAGATTAATCCTTCATGAATAATTTATGATGCGATGTAATATTTTGGTCATGATTTCCACTGACGCGTCACACAATATTTTGTTAATAGTCTTTTTATGAATTGTGGGACATTTACTTGAGCACATTTTCTCGATTTACAAATCTATTGTAACAGATTCAACTTTCACCTGTTAATAATAATTTAAAAAATCAAACTCTTTACTGGGAAGTCTTTAAACAACTTAAGTACATAACAATAATTTTTTTAAAATTAAACAATTATAGTCCGAGTCGCTTTTAATATCTAGACTACAAATAAGGAGAAATATTGTGCTGGTAGATAACGCAATTCGAACAAATCTCAATCGAGTATTTCATTGCAATCAAAGCGGCGGCAATAGATAGAACTGAACCCATCAGAATCAATGCAAAGCTTAGGAAATCCAACAGTAGCATCCCGGGAATATTCAATTCGTTAATACTGTTACCTTTGTCTGTTCATCTCATTGGAAAATAAAAAGAAAATGAAAACTGTTTGATGCATTTGCTTTATATACGTTTATAGAAGCGGATAAAGGCTCATTATCTAGGGATCAATCCATAACGTCGCAACTTTTCTATGTTTATTCATATTTGGAGCTATTTTCTATTTGTCATATGTTAATAATGAATTTCTCTGCTGATAGTAACTGACAAATTAATTATCTTTTAGCATGTTAATTTGTGCTTAAAAAATGGATTTGTTTAAATAAATATAAATTTGTACGTGATTTCAAAAATTGAAAATAGCTAATATTTCGACTCCGATACGTCAAGTTTAATTTAATCGAAATTAATGTTTTAATACTTATTCCCTTCATTACGCGTTTTGTAGTAAAATCAAAGAATTCTTAATTTTAATTATTTGCAACAAACCGTTCTGAATTGGACTCTAAGAATGTTCCTTAATTGTATCAATTTTTCGGAAGAGATTGCAGAAGCATTGTTTGAGTAACTTCTCTATAAGTACATATGTTAAATATTTTAAAAATTGAGCAAATCTTATTGGAAAAATACTTCTAAGCTCAGTACTAATAATTGTGAAACGGAAATAACTGAAAATAAAGCACGCGTTTCAACAACAATGTAGTGCTTAAGTAGTTTATGCAGATGATGAAATATTTGCGAAAAACGCAGTTGGTAATTGTCGCAATTGATCTTGATTGATGATATTATGGAATGATCTGTCTAATTAAATCATTGTTAAGAGTCCAATTTGCTATCCTTCTTAATGAGTGGCACAATTTTTATTCCGTATTGTGGTTTATTTGGACTGGTCTTAGATATGTTTTCAGGGAGTAAAGATACAAGCTTACTAAAGACCTTCCCTAAAAATAAAAAGATACAATAGAGAATTCCAAAACTTGTTTCTTAACAATTATTTGCGAACTTGTGAGTAGTGTATTTTGACTTAAATTTTTCTAGATTTTTACTGGATGCCACAATTGCAATCTATTAGAGTACCCACATTCTGGATCCGTTTGATAAGTTCGATAACAAAATTTACGTAAAATATTTTGTTAGTGAAGTTTTCGAAATATCTGCTGCGAAGTCTAGAAACAGGTGCTTTAAAATTTGAACTATTTTTTTTTTAACATTGCTGTGATTACAATAACTTTGTCACGCATAGCGCGGTGACCTTTTCTGAACCTAAATGACTTGAAAAATATTACCGCATATAGTTAATTTTTTTAAAAAGTGTACGGTTTTACTATGGAGTTTTGTCAATAAAATCTTCCATTGAATTTGTTTTGTTGATAGTTTAGTTTTCTCACCCTAATTGTATCGCCTATGGCTATGTTTCTAACAATTGGATTACAAAACACCATTTACAGATATATGGAACAGTCTAGCCTTTACTATCAATAGACATCATTGTTGTGATACTTCACTGAAGTGAGCTTGATTTTTTTTCTGATTTTCATTATGAACTAGACAGCTTAAGGAACATCATAATTTAAGTCTATTCACTTGACCTTTTGTTCATAATGTTCTGTTCACTTTGTCCATAGATTGATGTTCAAGAGCATATTTATCTATAATTATTCTTATTTCACGTATGGTAATAAAAAAATAAAAACCAACTGATAAGATTGAGATAAGAACAAGCAATACGTGAGTGGTATTAAGGGTCAACGTCAAAGTTCAAAAAACAATATAAGATCATTCTTTTTAAATGTGGAGGAAAAGTCTCCAAAAAGGTGGTCCACTGACTGACAAGAAAATATTAAAACTTTTTTCAATTTTTCCAACTGCACACGCCAATATTGCTGTTTATTAAAGATACCTATAGGAATTTGAGACACTTTGTGTTAGTTCATGCCTCCAAAGGATCTAAATGCGAGTTACGAAAAGATCCAGAAATGGCCATTATTAAACTATAGGAGACAAAAGGAAGACGCAATTTATTTACTTAATTTTTACGTATTTTTTACTTCCGGTTTGTTGTGAAATGCGTATGGAAATAAGCCACGCTATTAAAATGGCAGCAAAAGTTTCACGCAATGGGGCCCATGAGCGAGTGAACCAAAATCAGCAATTATTCTTTGAGCAGTAGCATTAATTACAGCACATAGAACGCAAAAGAAGGCCGCCTTAAGTTCATTAGGGCTATTTTACAAATATTCAGGAGGTTCATATGCGTCTTCCTTCAAGTAGCTGAATTTATGAATGCATAATACTTAGAAAAAGCAGGACTCGCATTTTAAATGCTTACTTTATTTGTGTTGATTTTTATGATTGTGTCAATCTTTATATTTTTTAGGTGAGTTGTTGATTGGTATTTAAAAATATTTTATCAAGTGCAATTTTATTCAAATATATATTTGCAGTGAAATAAAGGCACATTGCTAAATACAGAACAGTAAGTTCAATTTACAAGAGGTTAATTGGGTGAGGGAGGGAAATTACTTCTTAGGTCGACTGCAATTCTAGTATTATAATCAACAAGTATTGTCCAAGTCCAAGATATACCCATATACAAATAGTGATAACTTTGAGTTCTGCACGACTTTGATATCGATAGCGTATCCCATTCGATCTCCCGTCTTCCAGCAATCTGAAACTTTATGATTCAAATACTGACCAGTAAACGAAACTGCACCGTGGTGTAGCTCCTAAGCGCATAAGACCCAAAACCCAGAAGAAGAAATTAATATCTGAAAGGGATATCATATAAAATAAACATAAAATAAATTGAAATATTTACTTTGAATATAAAAACCAATAGATAAAACACGTCTGAAAATAACACAGATTCTGAGTGAAGCGAGAGAACATTATTTTTTTAAATAAAAAGTCATGGCAAAACCTTAATATGATATCTATTAAGTGTTATTATCTCTCTTATCTTTCAATGAACCTTTTAAGTATTTCTAGTATGAAATAGAGCACTCCGTTATTTTGCGTCATTTTAACAAAGTTTCTTCTAGTGAGAGGATACAGGTTTAGGTAGTAAGTGTTTTATATACCAAACATGCAGGATCTTATTCTGAAGGGTCCCAAAGTTGAGGATCAGGTGTCCATGGGATTTGGTGAATATTTTTGGTTAACTGCCGAAAAATTTGGGGACAGAATTTTTCAAGTAAGTTGCCATTAGTTGGTTTGAGTGATAGTTGTACAAGATCAGTCAAACTAGGTTAAAACTTAATATTCTTGTTTCATACCGGATTTTCTAAATATTCGTGATTATATTAACTTTTTTGAACGAGGATCCACGATTCACGTTAAAGAATTTTATATTTGCATACCTGTTTTGATGCAGAACGGCAACATTTATTTTTATTTTTAATATAATACGGATAACTAACTAAATGTATTTAGAGAAAATACATAGTTGACTAAGGAAACAACATCAATGTAAAATAATTTTTATTTCGCATCAGTATGCAGTGATAATAAATTGGGTAATAAGTAATTAAAATTAATGCTACAAATAATGTGAGAAAATGCAAGGACGAGGTTGAGTACTTAATGATATTGATAATTATATGGCGGCGAATAGCAACAAAACCAGATTTTCGTCATAAGTGATTTTTATTTTTTGCTGATTTATTTTTCAATTGCTTGTTTGAAAAGCTAATTTTCTGAAAGTAGACAGTTTCTCAGTTCTCTTTCGCCTTATAGGAGAAAAAATTCCTTTATTGCCTACAAACTTTGTAATACGTGTGATCTGTATAGGCAAATATTATTAAAAAGCTTCAAAATTGTACGTTAGAAGTCTAAAGCATTAAACATTTTTTTTTATAGAAACCGTTCAAATTTACATGAGACGTTTGCTTGGTTTAGATAGTTTTTGGCTCTCTCTACTTAAATATGCAATCTTACAACTCTATCAATAGGTCTTAACAAGGGCCATTTCAAGTAAACACTTATATCCTCAAACTCAAAAAACTGAATATAAAATGCTTCTTAGGTTATTATGAGTCGTCAGTAAATATTCAACTGGATAATCTTGATTTTCACAAAACTGAAATAAATAGATCATGTTTTTAAATACATCTGATCAAATTCGTATATTGTTTTAGATCCATGCTTATACAGAGGCGACACAAACCTTTGGCAGGGTGAAACAGAAAGCACTGAGAGTAGCAATCCAGCTAAGAAAATTTGGTGTAAAAGAGAAAGATGTGGTGATGGTTTGTGGAGAAAACGACTTAAATGATATAGTTCCTGTTCTGGCAGGTCTGTTTTTGGGCGCGTGTGTGTCTTGCACAGCTCCGCTTATGGGTCTATACGATTATGAACAATCATTTGCCAGTATTAAACCAAAGGTAACTTTACTATCTTTATAACGTACGGTTTACAGAAAATTCAGGTTTCGGAATTTCTGCTCATAAGACGGATCTATATTCCTAAATAAACCTGTAATAGTATTTTTTCACATTTTTTTTGTTTACTTATGTTATGTTATATCAAAATTCAAAACACTGTGCTTTTTTATTCGTAAAATATTTGTAATAGATTCGTTTTTCCAGAGAGGTTCTACTAAATAAGTAGGTTACATTTTCGATATGTACTCATATATTTTATATAGACATATCAGTATAATACTAATTAACTAAGACACAAATTTCCAAAGCTCGTTCAAAACATATTTTGAAATTTCAATTTCAATAAATGTAGAATTGAAAAACAATGTAAAAAAATGGTTATTAGAAAATCTCCTGTGGAGCGCTGTTTATTTTTAAGTTAAAGTCTCTGCGGGTTTTCTCTCTTCATATTCATATAGCGTTTTAATAACAACATAATTCTGCCCCAAATCAACTAATTTGACTAAAATGAAGCCTGAAGCTTATTTCAACCACATGTTTAATTCATGTCAGGAATCTTAAATGATACGTGGAAATCAGATCAGAGAAACACGAGAGTGAAATTGCCTCGTAATTTTGCGACCGTATGAAGCCTAAGTAGATGATTGAAAGTAGTGATTTAAAACTTCAGTTGCAGTAATAAGCAAAAATTTAAATTATGTTAAAATGTAAGCCATTTTTGCAAAACGTTCTCTATTTTGCGAATTGTGGCAACGTGACTTTGTTACACCTTTCTGGATATATTGGAAGTTATTTTTCAGTTTACCTTATAACTAATTTTTGATCCAAAGTATTTCAAAGACCCAACTGTCCTACAGCATTAAATTATGAAAAGAACAAAGATATTGAGACCAAATATTTTTATTATAAGTTGTTATTCATTTTTTAATGGGTTAATTAATTTCTAGGCCATATTTGTTATACAGCGTGATCTACATACCATAGTAGAAGCCACTAAGTTCTTGGACTATGAACCCCTAATTTTTGTTATGGGTGAATCTGGAGAATACCCTACATTGTCAGATATGGAGAAACGTGAAACTGAAGAAGAATCTACATTTAAACCAGTGGAAGTAAACATCTACGACGCAGCTTTTATTTTATTTAGCAGTGGGACAACATCAGCACCAAAAGGAATATACTTGTCGCATTTCACAATTCTATCTGGTCCATGTCGATTGAATAAGTAAGTTTCGCATTTAATTCAGCTAATTTCCATATTCGAATAATACCATTTTTGCCATAGTAATCATCGATTTGTTCTTGATACTCCTCTGGGGCAATTTTGCACTTTATTTTGGATATCATGCCTATGGGTTACATCATATAGCATTGTGAATGCGCAACCACTGATTGTTGCTCCATCCATTAAAACCGAACGTTATTTGGAACTGATTGATAAGTATAAGGTATACATTGTTTCATTATGTTATCATTTTCTCTTTGGTGTTAATTATATTTCTTTTCACAATTTTTTAGATTGCTCACTGCTTCCTCTTTTATTCGACAGTGGTGAACATGGCAAACACAGAATTAAGTATCTTATTGAAGTACGATTTGTCACACGTAACCTATGTTTCATGGGGAGGAACATATATAGATGCTAAATATATTTTGAAGCTCAGAAAAATATTTCCTAACGCCTTAGTTTATCAGTCGTATGCTGCTACAGAAATTGGAGCGATTCCATTCGGTTGGCGAGATTTTGATCAAGAAGCTTACAATAATAAACTTCTTTCAGTTGGAAAAGTTAATATCAATACCGAAGTTAAGGTAGGACAATTTCAATATTAATAAATAATTTGTTGAATTGAAAAGTTCAAATTTAACTTATAATCAATAATCTTTGAGGCTAATTACGATGTTTGATTCCAGATTATTGATATAGAGTCAGGACAACTGTTGGGCCCGAACCAGACAGGCGAAATTCTGATAAAATCCCCATATCGCATGCTTGGCTACACGAATTTAGATAGTTCTCAGAACTTTGATGATGACGGCTTTCTTAAAACCGGGGACATTGGATATTACGATGAGCAACATTACTTTTACATCGTGGATAGGTTGAAACAAGGTTTCAAATATCGAGCGATGAACATTTTTCCCCAACTAGTAGAAGAAACATTAAGAAAACATCCAGCTGTGGACGAAGCAGTGGTGTTTCCTATGTACCATGAAGTAGACTTTTCACATCCGGCTGCCTGTATTGTTCTTCAGAAAAATGCTCATGCATCAGCTCAGGAACTATCAGATTTTGTAGTCAAAAACATGTCAGAAATTCACCGACTTAGAGCAGGAATTAAATTTCTTAATTCCATGCCGTTTACTGCTAGTGGCAAGATTGCTCGTACAGAAGTTAAAAAGTTATTCTTTGCAGATCGGGGATCATTGTAGATTATAGGTAACTATTAGAAGGTAGGGAAATAATTCTCAAAGGAAGCTAAGTAGGCGTAAGTAGGTAGACTTAGTTGAAATGTAAATCTGGTAGAACATTAAGTAAAAACTTGGAGATTTGAACAAAATTTAAAATATAAATAAAATATTTTGCAGTGCTTGAAAATAAATAATTATTTTAATCTATTTATATTATATTTAATTTATGACATTATTTCCAAACTGGTTCTTTGAAGTTTTGTTCGTCAATCAACAAAAAGTTTGCTATAACGCATCACTTGCTTTTAGAGTCAGATGAATTTCAAACTACGTCATTTTGAGAGGTTCCCGGTTTCACTGCATGTTCATCACTTTCGTCATTTGTACTTTCTCTCTTGACACCCCATCACGTTTTAAGCGGAAGCATATTAAAGATTGAATTTGTAATAAATAACACGCAATTTATCATTCCATTCCAAAGTCTGTTGAGAGGCTCCTTGAGAAGGAAGTCATGCAGATAAATTCAAGCTTCTTGCATCGTCAGTGAAACTGTTCTATTTACTTCGACAATGAGGGATTTTGGAAGATTTTAAGAGACAATAAAGAATAGTGGCTTTAATTTAAAATCCCAACATTTTGCCTCATTTTTTCAAGTCAAGCGGAGAGCATTAAAAACTCTACGCAAAATTATTTACGAAAATACTGCTAAAAAGATTTAGTCTTTTTATTCGCTGTTTCAGATTTACTTAATACCGGAAACCGAATAACTGTTTTAGAAGTTATTCATCTAGAAATCCTTTTACTTCTAGTCTTTTGGGAACGTTTTACATTTAAGGATAAATGCAATCACTAAATAAGTCAACAATGCTATTCGTTTTTCTTAGGCGGACTACCTGATGATTTATGAGTCACTACTGCAGGATTAAAAATGCATCTGTTGAATCGCCAAGTAAAAGCAACAAAATTAGTTAATACACTTTCATACTTCTAAACGTAATAGTTTGACGAGGAAATCCATGCGAAAAGATAATTGCTTCTCTGACCCTTGGCACCGAAAGTAATAGATAGAATTGTTTTCCCGACAAAAAAGGAATAAAAACGTATCCCAGAAAATGGCGCTTTTATAGGGCTTATATTTTATGACGTTTATATAACTATCTGGGATGAAATATATTTTTTGCAGTTTGTTAAGGGTGATTGATGAAGGTTTGCTGTATACGAGTTGCTAATGTGGGTTGACAATTTTTTATGCTTATAAAAGGAGTTTCCACTTTTTCTGCTTTGACGATGTGCGGTCTTTTTATCAGTTAATAACGCTTACGAATCCACGATGTTTAATTACTTGAGTATCTCACGTTTTAATCCGTAGTGTAACATGCTCTTTAATTTAATAAAATTCTTTTGCAGTATGGCGTGACAAAACTTTTATATATTTTAAAAACTGGTATTCTCTTTTGCCCCCTTGTGTTCCAGTTTGCTTGTATATGCCCTAAATCAGCTGATGACATCACTTGATCTAGAGCTGCTCTCGGTTACGAACGCATTGTTAGTTTTACGTGGGATTTGAAGTATCATATTAAATATGAATTTCCATTTTCGAGGCAACTTGTTTAATTAAACATATTTGTGCCTCAGGTTCTACCACACAGTTACTGATTTTTAAACACAGAAAGTACTGGGAGGAGATGCCGCCACTGGTTGTTACAAACCAGTTTATAGGGACTTCACGATCAGTACGCAAGAAACAACTTCGGAACAAATAACTTCCTTTCCGGAACAAATAATTGTAGAAAGAATCTGTTCGATTATCAAACCTGCAGGTTGAGAATTAAGCAAATAAATAGAGAAAATTTCTCTGAACCGAACTAAGCTGGAGTCGTACACATCACAGAGCAAAAGAATACCAACTCTGGAAGGTGCATTTGGGATACTTGGAAAATTTAATTCAACAGAAAAAAAACCTATTATTTTTACATCTATCAATTATTATTATTACTTCATTAGATCGTTTGCAATTCTCTCAGTTCTCTCAGTCTTCAACTTTTGCCACAATTGTTTCCCGAAATGTTCAAAGATCAGCACTGAAGCAAATTTTGAACTAGACTTTCGCTAAATTTTACATTTCTCAAATTTTATGCGACATATTTTTCGCTGTTTGGGAAAATACAAAAAGGTTTGGTGATAGCAGTTAAATCGCATGATATGTCTGATATATTAGAATCCCGAAAGGTCGTTGACATATCAAAAGGTCGAATTTCCCAATCGTGGCAGGTGAGAATTCTATAAGCACCTTGAAAATTGTTACCTTCTTTGAGGAGAGTTCTTCATCAATCACTTATATTAAGTTAGATCGTTGATCGAGGCAATTTATAAAAGGGCGGTTTTACAAGACGATATAATAAAAGAAAGCTGTTTGAAGTTATTGGTGACGTCAAATGGGTCGCAAACATACAATTTCTAATTCTCTGATTCTGGAATAGATTCGCATTTTACTAAAAACAATTTTAGAAATGTGTGAATTTCTATGTTGACTAAATCTTTTAGAACCGTGCAATTCTTTAGATGCCATTAAGTTTTTCCAGATACCAAACCTACTGAGATATATATTGAATATTTATCACTTCTTTAGCAATTAGTTTCTCAATTACAACACAAAAACGAAGGCATTTATATGCTGCTTATATGTCAATTTCTGGAGGGTAATTTGTTCTATTAGAAATCTCACTTTTATTAAATATTTGATTTCGGCTCTTGAGTTGAGGTAAACGTATCTGAATCAGTACCTGAGGTCAATATTTATAGCTCCGATAAACCGTTATTTAATTAGTTGCCGGCATGGCTTTACTGAGAAGCAAAATGTTGTGTTCCATTCCAATCCCTAGCAATTTGATCCGGTAGTTCCGAATCACTTTATACATTTAAATTTTCCACATAACAAAAATGTTGCGCCATTTTAGGCTCGAGTGAAACTTAGTGTTTGGACAGCATACAAAACCTCGTCTGTTGTTGAGATATGTATTGGCGATATCAATTTAAATGTAAATCAGAGTTTGAATGGCAGACAATGCGCACCCTTGTTTTATTCATGGGAATATAAACTTTACTGCAATGAGTCCCGTTTTCGGACATATTTCAAAAATAATTTCTTATTCGAATTTCAAATCAACAAAACCATCAAATTATGTCGGTTATAATGCGTATAAGGCCCAACTAATAGAATTAATTCCAACATGCTTAATCTTTTTCATAGTTTTTTTAATGCAAGAGAATGCTTGTGAAATGCGCCTTGACTGCTGGTCGATTTGTTAAGCAAAGCTTTTAGTGCTTTTCACATAGTGCTATTGAGTATCTAAGTTTCAATTTACTTGCATAAAAATATATGACTATCATGTTAAACAAAACCATTTTCATTGCAATTAAGCAACTTATTTTGTGCTCAATGAGTCCAGTTGAGTTCATGTTCGCATTGAGTTACACTAATAGATGACCTTTCATTTTCTGAATATATACAATTTGTTCTCAGAGTTTTAAAAACTTATTTTCGTAGTCTTAAATAGTCACATTTTGTCCGTATGATTTATAATACTCAATCATGGATCGACAGAATCCCTTTTGCCATTAATTATTTCCTTTCCATTGCAGCCATCTTGATTATTGCTTGACAATTCCGTCCGTCTTATCTCTTTTCTACGTGCTAGAGCAAAGAAAATAAATGCGAAAATGATCCTGAAATCGATGGGGATTAAGCGCTCGACTTGGACGGTATAAGAATCGCTGATCTATATATGTTTCTTTCCCATTTTCTATCTTAATATATGACTTTTCACACTTGGAGAGACTGTAATTCTATTCAGTTTATCCACTATTAATAGAAATTTGTTTGGATGTAAAGCTCTGTTGAAAATGGCTGCATCAGAAATAGCTGGTCGTTAATAATGCCGTTAATAATGTTATCATTTAATAACCAACTATTTAATGTAGTTATGCAATTAATTGTACATGTACAATATTAGATACGAATAATATATTCAATCAGCATCTTCCTTCGGATTCGTCAAAGAAGAATTCACAATTTCGGTTTTAAAAATTAGTTAACTTTGAGATTAAAAAGGATTATTTTGTTATGAATAAGAAAATTGCATTGCTATACAGGGTGGCCCATAATAACTTTGCCATCGTCTACCTGCTGATTTGAGTTGCCAAAATAATAGGATTGACCCGAACACCCTTTAGTAAATCAATGCTAGAGTACGACAATACAAGGCGTTAAAGTTCTCTTTTAAATTTTTAATTTATTTTGTAATTCCAATATTTTAACCAAATTTTGAAATTTCACACAAAATTGAAGTGTGTTTTCGCAGTGTACTGCACTGATAAATGTTTTTACAGATATAAACGAGCGACGAGAAACTAACTATACACAACTTTGTGTGAACATGCAAAGCACCATCATGTTATTCCGTTATTGTTGACGAATAGTTTATCATAAAAGTTCTAATTAGATCGATTGGAAGACCTAAAACTTCCGAATATGCGTCGAACTTCTTAGAGCTCACGCCACTGGATTCTTTTAAACATCTTGTGTTTAAGCCTAACCCGACAAACATTGAAGAACTAAAACAAAAGTTCAATATCTAGTGCATTACATGATGATTTTATTGAAAATTTTCATTTAATGACTAAAGTAATAAATTAATTGCTGAATGATTATTTAAACCAGATCATTCAATTGATCACAGGGTCTGCCAGCAAATCGCCTTACGAAAAGCGAATTCAAAGAGATACCAATAATGCTTCAAGTGTTTGTGCAGTTTACCACAGCAACTGTAATGCCCGGGGAACAAACGTGTGTTGCCCTCCTGAGATATTTCACCAAATCTCTCCATATGTTTGAAGTAAACTCGCATAGGAGCACTGAATCTCTAATTTGCATACAGTAAACATGATCTCGAATCGATATTCCCACAGTAGCACGTTTGTATCTTTCATAATTCACTCTTGAATAAACTTGAAAAGTTGGGGAAAGCTATTAGCAATAGACTAACACTACTTAATGCGTTTCTTGAAGTTTCCCTATTAAATTAAGCGCCAAGTAGTTAAATTAAAGTTATTAAAGCCTTCTAGCTTTAGTGTATATCTGAAACGTTACTGAAGGCGGTATTTACGCAAACGTTCTTTAAAATGCATTATTCATTGTCATGTTATGCGTGAAAATGTAAATAAAGTTATTGTCGATGTTGTTTAAGGTCATTTTGATTTTCATATTTCCTGCTTGTATTATTGCAGTCTGCTACTGAGCATTCAACAAATTTATATAATTTACAGTTCCCGTGTAAGGAAAAATGTACTTTAATTGGAAAAAGTACTTTTATCTTTTCTTCTGTTAAAAATTCCAGACAATTAAGCCATACCCAGTTTTACCGAAATATGTTATTTGTATAAAAGGTATATGAAAGTGTGAAACTGATCTCAAATTTTTCATATTTTTCAAGATGGTTTAGTCGAAATCTCACCCATTGAAAAATCTAAATAGATATAAGTGTTTTTCGAAGGAGCAATCGTGTAAAGCAGACCACAGCAATCGTATCAACCGTAAAGTCAAAAGTGAATAAAGAAAATTTGATTTATTTTA